TGGAAGTATTTAAAAGACGGGTAGATGAGGCGCTGAGGGACATGGTTTAGTGGGCATGGGGGTGTTGGGTCGATGGTTGGACTCGATGATCTTGGAGGTCTCTTCCAACCTTAATGATTCCATGATTCTATGATTCTATGATTCTTGCAGCACTGACCTACAGCCGTTATTTGGCAATACGTAAAATACAACAATATCCAATGACTTTGTGTCCAGCTGGTCATGCTTCACCATCACCCGGTGTTTAAATGGGAACACAAACTCTTAGTGTCTTAAAAACACAAGCCTGTGGCTACAGCACTGTTGCTCTGCTCGTTGCGGCTTCCCGCCGGAGCTCCCACTCTCAAAACCGAAAGCATTTTGCTCGTTGTGCAAGCAGTGCCTGCTGTGTTTGGGGAAACCAGCGGTTAGCTGGGTCTAACGGCCCTCGCTGGCTTCTGTGGGGTTAGGATCTGACTGTGAGAGTGGTGGGAAACACCCCGCGGGGCTCCAGGAGGGGAGTTACAGAGGGGAGAAGGAGCATCCAGCATTGCAACCCCCTTTCCCGGCGGGTCATGATGAACGGGCAATGACGTGGCTGGCATCTTGCATCTCCTTTTGCATTCACGCTGATTAGCCGCCGGTTGCCTCGGAGCTCCTCTCCTCTGAAAGGGCAGGAGCTGCCACAGCTACATCCTCGGAAAGGTGTTTTAGCTTGTCTCTGCGCCACGTTAAACGCTCCAGGACTCTAGAGGCAAGTGAGTTTCCAACTGGAATTCATTTTACTTGAGAAAGCAGAAATAATGAATCCCACTCTGGAGGTTTCCCCTAGCTGGTGGGTAAAAAAGGCACAGAAACAGAGAAATGCGGTTTTTTTCCTTCAATTAAAACGGAGCTGAAGACTTTGGCTTACAAATCAGCTACATCTCAGAGTTCAGCTGGAGCCAGCCAGGCTTGTGCTTTTAGGCGGCGCTGCCTTAACTCTGGTTAAATCTGTTTTAAACAGAGCGCTGAGCAAATACTGCTATCGCAGGGGTAGGAGCCACCTCCCCTTGTTTAAACACTTAGTGATCAGAGTTGGGAATCACCTCAAATGTCTTTAGGGGAAGGACTTATCTCCTTAACTTTAAATAAACACCGTGTCACCTCTACACGTTGACTGGGTACCTGGGCCCCCTTTATGACCAGGGAAGATTTGGTCAAGTCCATCAGTGGGGTCCGGCGTGGCTCACTGCAAGGCAGACACCTACATTTTATCAGCCAAAGAGATCGATAAACTCTGCTGATTGTATTGGCCAGAGTCGCGTTAGCTATAACGAGACCTTAGCTCACAAATAGATAACGACAGACACTCAGATTCGGGTCTTAATACGAGCTGAATCTAAAAGGGGGTGAAATGAATCCCACTCTGGAGGTTTCCCCTAGCTGGTGGGTAAAAAAGGCACAGAAACAGAGAAATGCGTTTTTTTTCCTTCGATTAAAACGGAGCTGAAGACTTTGGCTTACAAATGTGTAAGTCCTGCACTGGGGGTGACTCCTCTCCATCGCGTGCCATCCAGATACATGGGAAGGGCCATGAGCACAACCCTTTTCTCTCCAGGCTAGCTGGAAACCAAGCTACCTTCAGTTTCCCTTAGTACAGAAACAAAAGGGAGAGTCTTGGTTTGGCCTTACTCCCTTTGAAATCGATGGCCAAGGTATGTCTCGTTTTCAAAAGAGAATTGGGAGATATTATAACGGCTCATTTTAGACACAGTTACTGCCCCGGAGCAAAAAACCCTCCTGAGGTCCAAGCGGAAGGAGCAAGGAGACCCTATCCCAACACCGGTGAGTTCCTCTCCGTGTCTGCCTTTACCACCATTCATGGCTCGGAAAGACATTTTGAACCCAAGAAAGAGAAATTTGCATTTTCCACATCTCTTGAGAAAGAGGGAAAGTGAAAAGGGGAAGGTTGGGTTGAGCAAGGACAGAGAGACACATGGGGCAGGACTAAACTCAGCTGGCTTTAGACACCTGCAGTGTCAGCACGGGCACCCAAGGCAGACACCCCAGAGAAAGGGATGCTTCCGTGTGCGATGAAATGTGGATATTTGAGACGGGACGGACGATGTTTTACACTATACAGACCAGCAGTGGTATTGAGAATGGCTGGTTCGGATGCTGTTAGATGTAATGGGTGTGTTTGAGACGTCTACGCCCGGTTACATAAATACCACCCAAGGCGAAGAAGGAAATTAATGAGGGCGAGGAGATGGCTGTCCAACGTGTGAGACGTTAGCAACGGGAAACAGCAGTCGCCTCCTTCCCCCTGCCCAAGGCGGGTGTAGACACCTGCAGCTGGATCTCCTGAACCCCTTTAAAGGTGTTAGAGCAATTTAGCATAACCCTGTCTGCAATCGACTCCTCTTTTCTACAAGGGACAAGTCACACTGTCGGTTTCCTTTCCTGCTTTCACGAGCACCAAACATCCATCCTGGGGACACTTCAATTTTGAAGCACACGATGCAAAATGGCTTTTCAAAGGCAGCTTTTTTTGTCCAAAACGGGCAGATCGGAATCACACAAACTTCAAAAAGGGAAAATACCGAGTCCTGCCCATGGGGAAGAATTGCCCCAGGCACCAGGACAGGCTGGGGAGCAGCCTGGCAGAGAAGAACGTGGAGGTTGTGGTGGCCACCAAGTTGAAGATGAGCCATCAGTACGTCC